TAGCACTGAGACTGCAGTCATTTGATTATTTTTAGGCTGATTTTTAATGTCAAAGTGTAAACCCATTCAAAGGATGTTTGATGAATTTAGAAATTAATACTTTGAATTTCAATATGTGAGGAGAGTCACAATTTTTTATGTATGCCAAAAAATTTCTGTAGTGCTATAATTTTTTATTTTGTAAAATTTGTAAAGTAAAATTTGTACTTTAATAAAAATGTAAATTTTCTCACTTAATGCTTTTACAGCCAGATTAAAACCCATTGCTCATTCCAGTGAGCCAGGATGTGTGTTTTTTTTTTTTTTTACGTTCATAAAGCTGCTTTGGCTCACTAAATTGAGCTGACATTTCCAAATTATGCCGTGTATGTATTGTTTATGTTATGAGTGTTTAGCAGGGATTCTCATGACCTGAGAATACTGCTCTTTCTCAGCCCAATATAATGTGCACATGTGTCATTTTTTATTCCTCAGATTTAGTGTTTTTATGGTGAAAATCTGTAATTCTCTGGAGGAGTCTTGCAGTTACAGTCACAGGTAACCAGTGATGTACTCAATTCTTATAGAAAACTATATGTTCTCTAAATCACTGTAAATAACTGTAACTTTGAGTAGTATTACCTTATAATTAATTTTTACAATTACTTTAATCACTTAGAACATCAGTTATGTAAGATTAAAATTCAGTGATGTTATTGCAAGCACAAGAAAGAAACGACATGAGGGTGAGTAAATGATGATTTTTTTTTTTTTTTGTGGCAGAATTCTTCCTTTAAGTGGGGTTACTGGTCCTCATTCATTTTATTTAAGAGTGACATCACTGAGAAAACATCATGGCAGCTAATGATAAATTATGTAGTATTTAGTGTGATGTTTAATAAAATGAGAAATAACAGCATGGTTATGGAATAATACATAATTAATGTAGCATTGTGGGTTTAATGTGAAATTAATGAATTGAGTTTTTTGATAATTTTTCAGATGGACAGAACACCACATTTGTAGAATGACCCAGAGACAAATGAACTGGTGCTCCATAACTATCCAGAGTGATCCCAAATTTTGGAGTTACACAAAAAAAAATCTTCACAACAAGACTCACAGTGTGAGGTCAGTGTTCAAAGGTCCAGGTTCCAGTATGTGCAGTACAGTAAGCTTACTCCATAAGCCTTAACACAAAATCATATAGTAGTTTTACTAGTTTTAGTTTTTCAAATAAACACAAAAGTGAGACCTTGAGTGCAGAGGCACAAAACCCATAATGCAAGATCTGAGCTCATTCTGTCCAGAATTCCCATTAACATCTGTTAACTTAATTAGACTAAAACCTGAGACCAGAATAAGCATGTGAACATAGTAATCAGACAAAACCAAAAAAAAAAATTGAAATTATTATTGACTTCAAACATGTCATTGTTTTACTTGTGTTACATTGGATTTCTTGCTTGCTTGCAGGCTTTCTTTTTCCCATTCTGGCAGAAGGAAGTGTTTGAGAAGAGGGAAATATTTCAGGGACAGAGGATGGATATGGATTTGAGTAAGTGCACTTCGGATGTCACACTCACTGTCACAATTGGAAACAACACATCAAGACACTAGAAAACAAACCACGACACATATTTTGAACATGCTTTCATATTCATCCTCTTGGTGATCAATATAAATATCAGGTCATGGATTAGTGAAGTCAAAACATTATTTTCCGTAGATCAAACGTTTATTGAAGAAATAGTTTACAGACACTGGCATTGACAGCCACTAAGAAACTCAAAAGCAAGAGAAACCGTATGTTCTGTCACTTCAGTTGTTTGGATGAAAATCACACGCACTGATTTGTAAACAAACTCACGCTTCTGTGTAATGTCATCCGTAATTGGCCAAATTTTGGTTATCTTAGCCCCACTCATTGGAGACATCATTATCTGCTTTGTTATGAAATTGTTTGAACACATCTGCCCGTGACCTCTGAGGGGGTCTCTCGCTGGGTCGTCTCCATGGTAACTAGAGAGCTGAGTGAATGGGGAGCCTCTGACGTTTCCTGTGTTTTAAGAAGCTTATCTGGTTTCACACTCTGGGTAAAATGTTTGATAGAGGACACAATTCATAGAGGCAGAACCCAGAACTCTTGTGAGACCAGTGACCAGCACTCATTTAGCAGGAATGCAGGAAATTTACATTAGAAAGAAGAGATAGATGCACAGACATTTGCATGCTCGTTGACTGTGAAAGATGATGAAACATTACTGCAGCATGTATAAACACTACACAATAAACACTGCTGAATTTTTCAGGTTGTTAGGTGTGTGTGTAATGCTGGAGTTCTTCCTCTTGGATGTCTTTGCCGTCTTGCCTCTCTCTCTCTCTCTTTCTCACTTTGGTGTTCACACAGAGTTGCTGGCCAGATGCATTTAAAATGAACGCAGGCATTTACTAAAAGGAAAAGAACACTTTCACCCCCCCCCCCCT